TGGGGGGGGGGGGGGGGGGGAGCGGTTCCTCGAGGACGTGGTCGGGCGTGAGGGCGAGCTTGCCGCCGCCGAAGTGGAGGGTGACGAAGTGGGAGGTGCTCTTCGAGGGGACGTGCTGGTTGAGGAGCACGCGCGTGACGGAGGCCGGGCTGGCGAGGACGAGGTCGCCTGCGCTCACGCCGGAAGCTGTGAGAAGTGGGACGCCTCTTCACAGCCTGGGCTCGAAAGAGCGACGAGGCTCGTGCCGGCGGTGAGGGAGGACATCAGGACCGCCTCGGCGGTGGTGGACGGCGCGTCGCCGAAGCACTGCGGGAACGCCTCGGCGGCGGAGGTCCCCCGCGTGACGCGGCAGGCGGTGGTAGAGCCTAGAAGGCAGGTTCCGAGAGGGTGCTCGAGGGAAGGCGGCGTGAAGGAGAAAATGGCTGGCGGCGGAGGAGCCGCGCGCGAAGCACGGAGCGTCGTCATCGCCCGGGGCGGCTGGAGGTGGGGGCGACGGCATGTCGTGCTTCATGCCACCTAGTGCCCGAATGCTGTCACTCATCTTGCTGTGTACCTTCTCGGCTCTCTCTCCCTCTCCCTCTCTCTCTCTCTCTCTCTCTCCATCTCCCTCTCTCTCTCTCTCTCTCTCTCTCTCTCTCTCTCTCTCTCTCTCTCTCTCTCTCTCTCTCTCCATCTCCCTCCCTCTCTCTCTCTCTCTCTCTCTCTCTCTCTCTCTCTCTCTCTCTCTCTCTGCCACGAGTGCGCCGCAGGCTCCATGCGAGTCGCCGAGCATCGAGTCGCCGGGCATCCAGCACGACCCCATCTTGTGCGATCCGTTGACCGGCGGGTCGCACATGCTCCCCCTCGCCTCAGCCGCGTCTTTTGAGGGGTACATCATCTTTGCAGAGTTGCACGTCGTGTCAGGGTCGATCGTGATGTTGATCTTTTGGTTATTGGCGCAGTGGGAGCCAACCTGAGTTCAGGGTAGGGAGCCTGGTATGTGGCAGGTCCAAGAGGGAAGCGAATTGCAGCGGGATCGCCGCGGCGGTTCACCGAGCAAAGAAAGTAGAATTCACCGGTCTTGGGGAAGTCAACGACCTGCTCGATCTGGCCGGTGGAACTCCCATCGTTGAGCATGGCGCCATTCTCGTCTTCACAGTTCGTGTACGCCGACTTTGAGACCTTCATGAGGTTATGACCCAATGACCCCTTCCAGCGAAACATAACCGAGTCGCCGACGGTGTAGTGTACCTCGTGCGACTCGGATCCGGAATCATATAAGTCGTGCCATTCGACAACGTGCTGCATCGCGACTGCGGGAAGGAGCAGCGAGGCGCCGATCACATGCAAGACCGCCATCCTCATTGGTGTCGCTGTGGCTGTGTCGTCGGTGCCAAGCGCAAAGCGTGATCTCTTGGAATGTACGGACAAAAAAAATTGTGCGCGCTCTGAGGCCTCAGACCCCCCTCCGAGGACGGGTCGGACCCCAGGCTTGGCGGCACAGAGGGTTTGACTCTGACTCTGTGCCGCCTCTGTGGCCTCTCTGCGTTGCACGAGTCATTGGAGAGAGAGAGATTTTTAGCAATACCAAACAACTCTAACACTCACACGTCATTTGGGGCCTGGAGCCCCTGCAAAATGATGTTTATGGAGGTTTAAAGTTTGCGGGGGGGGACAGCTTTGCGCGGTCGACTGCCCTGTTCACGCGCGCGCGAGACGTGCAGACAGGGTTGCCAGGTGAGAGCGAATGGCGCGGTTCACGCCTCGCACAACAGAGAGAGAGATGCGCTCTGCATGGTGTTTGTTTTTGTCATTGGCGCCACACACA